TCTTTCTTTCTTTCTTTCTTTCTTTCTTTCTTTCTTTCTTTCTTTCTTTCTTTCTTTCTTTCTTTCTTTCTCTTCCTTCCTTTTTTTTTTTCTTTTTTGATTTTTCGAGACAGGGTTTCTCTGTGTAACAGTTCTGGCTGTCCTGGAACTCCTTGCTCTGTAGACAGGCTAGCCTCGAACTCACAGATCCACCTGCCTCTGCCTCCCGAGTGCTGGGATCAAAGGCGTGCGCCACCACCGCCAGACCCCACTTTATGTCACACAGCGTGAGCAGCCCTAAAGTCTATACAGTCCAGCACCCGCATTCACACCCATGGTTTTTACCTCCTATGACTGTGGTCACCCACACTCAACTCTACTCACAACATATTGTTACAGCTCTTCTTTATTATGACCCATTCTTGTCACTATCTTAATGTGCTTAACTTACAAATCAAACTTTGTTAGGGGCTGGAGAGATGGCTCAGTGGTTAAGAACACTGGCTATTCTTCCAGAGGATCCAGGTTCGATTCTCAGCATCCAAAGGGGGGCTCACAACCATCTTTAATTCCAGTTCCTTCTTCTGGGCCCCCAAGGCACCAGATATGCAACATAGTACACAGATAAACACACACACAAAATGTGCATACACATTAAAACTGTGAACTTTATTATTGGTATGCATGCATGGGACAGGGAATAGTAGAGGGCTATGTGCTAACTACAATTTTAGGCACCTGTGGAACATCCCCTAAGGAAATAAATGGAGGTAACTATAGGGTGTTTTTATGCCAAGTGCCTACTTCTGGGTCCCCAAATCACTCAGTCCAGACCAAAAGCCCGAGAGCTTGGAAATCCGCTCTTTTCCAGATTCCCACTGGCTTACTCTCGCTCGTTCGACAGAAATGAAGAACGAGCAGAGGAAGAAGCACTACCACAGAGCACCTGAGTCCAAGGGACCAGACACTTGTTTCCGCCAGCGCCACCAATTTACGGCTCTATCACGGAGGTCTCATTTCTGTTGCACACTAAGCCCTTTATAAACATTAATTCTTTGCCATTGAAAATGTCCTCCAGGCTTTCTGGTGTGTTTAGTTCAAGGGTCAAACAGTAAATGGCATGAAGGTATAATGGAGGTGGCCAGAGCTACAAAACCAGGTCCTATTCATTAGGCTGCAGTACACTCATGAGCATTTTGAGATGTTATTTGCCTGCGGGCGGAGATGCAGAAGGAACATAATGCCAGCTGTCTTGTGAAGGATTTGGAAATTTCCAAACACTAAAAGATTAATAGCTGCATTCAGAGAGAGAGAGAGAGAGAGAGAGAGAGAGAGAGAGATCTCAAATACATGTAAGCAGTGGTCTTGACATTTCGCCAGGAACTGCCAGCTCCCTCCAGCACACAGTAGGCCCACACTTGTAAATAGGTGGCTGTGATTTGCTTAGACCTGTGACTGTCACTGAGTAAGACCTAACTCGCCACTTCTCCTATTTCCTCTACGCAAACCACAGACAACATCTCGGGTGACAAGTTCTCCAGCTGGTTTGGGAGAACAGACAACAGGAGTCTCAGCTGGTCCTCAGCGGCCATGTGGTGAGGGGGAGAAGGAAACGTCAGGTTTGGGGCGCTGGGCTTTGTGATTGTTACCTCGGCTAACTTTACCTCTCCAGGTTCCCCCACTAACTGTACTCAGTGCTAATTCTGTTACTGTTGAAGCTAAAAGTAGTCTTAAATATACGGGAAGGACTACATACCTAAGATAGGAGATTTTTTGTTGTTGTTGAAAGATGTGCACAACAGTTGAGTAGTGGTGGGGTACACAGAGTGAGATCTAGGACACAGCCAAAGCTACACAGAGAAACCTGTGATAGATAGATAGATAGATAGATAGATAGATAGATAGATAGATAGATAGATAGACAGACAGATAGATAGATATACAGGTGATAGATAGATGATAGATAGATAGATAGATAGATAGATAGATAGATAGATAGATAGATGATAGATAGATATACAGATGATAGATAGATAGATAGACAGACAGACAGACAGACAGACAAAGCTACACAGAGAAACCTGTCTTAGATAGATAGATAGATAGATAGATAGATAGATAGATAGATAGATAGATAGATAGATAGATAGATAGATAGATAGAGGATAGATAGATGATAGATAGGTAGATAGATAGATAGATAGATAGATAGATAGATAGATAGATAGATAGATAGATATAGATAGATGAGAGATAGATAGA